CTTTTAAGTAAGCTTGCTATTATTTCGATTGAAAAATCCAAAAACCTTTTTATGAATAGCATAGTATTTGTCTCCATAAAAGGGGCTTAACTGTCCTTGTCAATTTTTTTGGTCTTTGGCTCGTTTTGACATTTTGTAAACATGCCTTCAGCGAATTGTTGTTGTGTCTTATCGATTAACGTTGCTCTCTACTGTGAGATGAAGTAATATAGATTCTACCACTGCATCGAGTGTGTTACGATATTTATCCACTCGAGACAGTTAAATTTTCAAATTTAAAACGCGAGGCTCGCCGAGCGTTTTAAATATTTAAAATTTAACTGTCGAGAGTGGATAAATATCGTATTACACGAGATTTGGTTGTGGAATCTGTTTCTCTAATGATTTTCAAACAATACGCAGGCAAATTTATTCCTTCTTTTCGAATGATCTGCAAAAAGATGTGTTCTTTCTATGTGACGTCATCAGGCATGGTCGCCTTTTTTCATGCCGTCACAATAGGAAATTCAGAGGAAAGCAAGAAATTTCGACGTCATAATCGGATTTTAACCAATGAAGAACTGAGATCAAACGAACCACACGTTGATTAAATTTTTTTTTATACAATGGGTGCAGAAAGGGATAAATTGACAAAGAATTAGAGAAATAATAATACAAGTGCAGAGGAAATGTCAGAAACGTCCTCTAATACGGAACGTCTGGAATAAGTATGGTATCGACGAAGACCCAAATTTAATTTAAAAAAAACCATGAACATGAACAAGGGAACAGTACAAGTTTTAACATTGTAAATAAAGGTTATCGTAAATATTGCCCGGTTTGGAAGAAGTTATTGTATATTCATTGAAATTGAAATTACAAAATCACAGGAACAATATCCATGATATTAATTAGAATCATACTTGTAAGTACAGTGAAATATACACTTTTTTTATTTATTTTTTTTATTGTAAACGAATGGCCCACTCATTTGACAACATGGCCCATTAATTCTAAAAATGGCTCATTGAATTTATTTTTGGGGGGCCCTGGGCCCATAGAGAAAAAATCCTTCCAGATCACTGGTATGTTCCTGCAAATAAATTTTATTTTATTTGATAAGGCATACAAGTACATCTTTGCCTGGTCAGATGCGGATCCAGGACTATGGAAAAGGGGGCCCTGCATCTAGACACCATAAGGTGTGGGAATAACGTCTTAATACATTTTTGTAAGATAGAGGCATTGCATTAATTATATAAGTAGCTCCAACAGCATAGGCGGATCCAGGGGGGCCTAGGCCCCCCTTTGTGGGAAAAATTTAGTTGATTATATAGGGAATCACTGAAGCATGACTGGAGCGGGCCCCCTCTTAGGTCAGTCAGTGGGCCCCCTTACAAAAAGTTCTGGATCCGCCACTGTACAGGGGGATAACATGTCACCCCCTAACTGATTTCTCATGTGTTATAAACATCTTTATTATACAACACTGCCAACATAATAATTATAATATAAATTAGGTGTATAAATGGCATTAAATACTATAGTATAGACTATTCCATTTATTGAAGCCTTACTACCACTGCATGCTTAAAGTTATACTAACCTTTGTATGCAGCAGTAATATTTCCAATGTGCGAGAATTTTTCCACCTGGTCCTGCATCAGAGCTACTAAGGGACAACAGACTTAAACTTTTCAGTCAGAACTGTTTTCAATTTTACAATAACCTCCCGGACAACTGGAAGGTACAGTTGAAACGGCAGTGACTTGCCAAAACCAGTCGGTAGTACAGCCACGCACTTCTTCTTGTTAACTAAACACTCTAAAATTTCCTTTTCCTCCTTCTTTATATCATTTATACCAAATTTTGGCAAAACTTTTGTCAAAACGTTGTCCAAACAGGGCGCATCCATGTTTTTTAACGATCCGATAATGGTATACAAGCCCGTCGCTGATTGGTTAATCGAAATTGATTTTCTGCACGCTGATTGGTCGGTCAAAGTTCACCAAATTTGACCCTAGACATGACCCTCAAGCGGCTGTTGTTAGATCTCCCACGCGCGACATATAAACAACGAGGAGCAAGTGCGGAGATTTAATTTTAATTAGATTGGGTGGCAAAGGGTTATTTTCACATCAATGAAATTCTAATTTTTGTGGCAAATTATTTTAATATCTTAATTTTAGAAGGTTTACTGATTAATATGTCCCACCTAGTGCATTATGTTTTTCAGTCTGTGCGTCCGTTCGAGTGGGGCATCCACATTCTTGTTTTTAAAATCTTTTGACATAATGGAAAGTAACGAGGATTGTTCAAAGGTTTTTTATTGAAAGTGATTTCATGTTTACCAGAAGCAGGTTTTTAAAAAAGAAAAAAATTAAGACATTTGTCTTATTGTTTGTTAAAATGAGGAGAACAATTGGGAACTATATGTCAGTGTAAACTGGTTTTATAGATAGTCTGTCTACTTGTTTTTTCGGAGGCCGGTGCCTTATGAAAGACTTGGAACTAGTTCCAATCTTTCTAAAAACGAAATTGTAATGCATTAAAAACCGAAAATTCTAAAAACAAATTAAATGTGCAAAACACGACTAAGGCAATTTTCTTAATCAACTTATGATATCTGAACACCAGTTTACTACTGTAACTTAACGCGATTTATCAATCATTTTCCATCTTGTTCTGGTGATTCACAACCCGTTTATATCTTTGTTTTGACACTAAATTTATTTGCTGATTCTTCTTGATCCGTGTTTGACTCAAAGGTACTATATAATTATCTGGCATTATCATTGTTTTAACGCTACCAACATGTTGACTATTTTGATTTTAGTTTTATTGTCTTGGATGTTTACTGGTGTTAATTTACAATATCAAAAGTGTTAACGACCGAGTTGTTCCGTGCATACAGGAGGTATGTTTCGCTCTGTCTTTTCAATCAGTACGTTACAATTTTGCATTCATTTTATATTACTTTGATATATTTGTGTATGCACTCGAGTAAGAGCTGCATCCCTTTCATGTTGTTAACCTTTTATATATTTTAAATGGGTAAAAGTTTGAATATCATTTTCAGAACCCTTCTTGTGTCATTTGTTTGGTCTATAAATCATGAATTTTATGTCTAAAGCCAGAACTCTTCTGTGTTGTTAAGGTTTGGTCTATAAATGGATTTATGTTCTAAAGTTCGGAACCCTTCTGTGTTGTTTAGGTTTGGTCTATAAATGGATTTTATGTTCTGAAGCCAGAACCCTTCTGTGTTGTTAATGTTTGGTCTATAAATGGATTTTATGTTCTAAAGTTCGGAACCCTTCTGTGTTGTTTAGGTTTGGTCTATAAATGGATGTTTGTTCTAAAGTTCGGAACCCTTCTGTGTTGTTTAGGTTTGGTCTATAAATGGATGTTTGTTCTAAAGTTCGGAACCCTTCTGTGTTGTTTAGGTTTGGTCTATAAATGGATTGTATGTTCAAAAGCTCATTATCCTTCTGAGTTGTTTATGTTTGGTCTATAAATGGATTGTATGTTCTAAAGCTCAGAACCCTTCAGTGTTGTTTAGGTTTGGTCTATAAATGGATTGTATGTTCTAAAGCTTAGAACCTTTCCGTGTTGTTCAGGTTTAGTCGGTAAATGGCTTGCATGTTCTAAAGCTTAGAACCCTTCTGTGTTGTTTAGGTTTGGTCTATAAAAAGATTGTATGTTCTAAAGCTCAGAACCCTTCTGTGTTGTTTAGGTTTGGTCTATAAATGGATTGTATGTTCTAAAGCATAGAACCTTTCCGTGTTAATCAGGTTTGGTCTATAAATGGATTGTATGTTCAAAAGCTCAGTACCCTTCTGTGTTGTTTATGTTTGGTCTATAAATGGATTGTATGTTCTAAAGCTCAGAACCCTTCAGTGTTGTTTAGGTTTGGTCTATAAATGGATTGTATGTTCTAAAGCTTAGAACCCTTCCTTGTTGTTTAGGTTTGGTCTTTAAATGGAATGTATGTTCTAAAGCTCAGAACCATTTCGTGTTGTTTATGTTTGGTCTATAAATGGATTGTATGTTCTAAAGCTTAGAACACTTCCGTGTTGTTCAAGTTTGGTCTATAAATGGATTGTAGGTTCTAAAGCTCAGAACCCTTCCATGTTGTTCATGTTTGGTCTATAAATGGATTGTTTGTTCTAAAGATTAGAACCCTTCAGTGTTGTTCAGGTTTGGTCTATAAATGAATTGTATGTTCTAAAGCTCAGACGTCTTCTGTATTGTTCAGGTTTTGTCTATAAATGGATTGTATGTTCTAAACTTTGAACCCTTCTGTGTTGTTCAGGTTTGGTCTATAAAGGGATTGTATGTTCTAAAGCTCAGAGCCCTTCCGTGTTGTTTATGTTTGGTCTATAAATGGATTGTATGTTCTAAAGCTTTGAACCCTTCTGTGTTGTTCAGGTTTGGTCTATAAATGGATTGTATGTTCTAAAGCTCAGAACCCTTCAGTGTTGTTTCGGTTTGGTCTATAAAGGGATTGTATGTTCTCAAGCTTAGAACCCTTCTGTGTTGTTTATGTTTGGTCTATAAAGGGATTGTATGTTTTAAAGCTCAGAACCATTCCGTGTTGTTTATGTTTGGTCTATAAAGGATTGTATGTTTTAAAGCTCAGAAACCTTCCGTGTTGTTAATGTTTGGTCTATAAAAGGATTGTATGTTCTAAAGCTTAGAACCCTTCCGTGTTGTTCAGGTTTGGTCTATAAATGGATTTTAAACCAAAGGAATCATTTGTCGAAAAACAAACTGACAACACCATGCCAAAAAACAAAATACGATCAAAAGACCAACAACAGTCTACAAAACACAGCATAAAAAATGCAGACTGAGCAACACGAACCCGAACAAAAGGGAGGGTTGATCTGGAAGGGTAGGCGGATCCTGCTTCACATGTGGTAACATGGGTATAAATTGACAATATTCCATTTGTAGTCGAAACCAGAGATACCTTACCATAGTTTTCTAATGATGTTTAAAGAAAACTAACAACATATATATTAAAGCATGGCAAATATTTTCATTTATTTTATGATCAACAATAAAAAAAATGAGGAAAAACGTGGGGAAAATAAAATAATAAAACAACTATTACATAAAATTATCTTAAATAAAAAATCCAGTTACTTTTGTAAAATATGTCTATGGTAACTGTTGTAAAATAAAACAATTTCCAAATTTTTTTTACCTATAAATAAAGTACCAATACATGAAGTTTGTTAATGGTGGCTATACATATTTGTTGTGAAAAGGAGGCTCATTTCATCAACAATTTTATTCAATCATTTGAAATTTCATCTGACCATTAATCAACAATTAATACCTTAGATAAGCATTTGTTCTTTCTTGTTCTATATACCACTGCTCTGCTAAGTTATAAATCCATCTTATTAAACAAGATAGCTAAAATTCCATAAAATCACAGCATTTATTAATCAAAGCTCACATAAAAACTTCAAACAGAAAAGAAATATCTTGAAAGCTGTAAATTTTAAGTTATTTTAAAGGTCAATAAACTATAAAACATACGACTTTAGAGTCAATTCAATCCTGTAAGATGCCTATGAATGTCTAGAATACACATTCAAAATAATGTTAAACTTTGATGTATATTTTCTGAGATACCTACGTTATCCACAAAATTAAGCGGACATCTGCAGTATGAAAAATAAGTAATGGACAATAATAAGACTGACATACAATCTTTGTAACAGGTCCTAATACCAAATATTTTAGATCTTCTATGTAAATCTGCTAAAGGAATAGACCTTAACCAAACCAATGGAGCATAAGGTCAAGGTCTTATCTTGTTGACCTATCAGGCTGTGTTACTGAGACGTACAATCTTGCTCTGAAAAATCCACAAACAGAAAATCTTGTTGACATGTCAGGTTGTATAACTGAGACATATAAAACTTGCTTTATAAAAACATCTTGTTGGCGTATTAGACTGTGTTAAGGGAAATTATTTATATATCCTACTTGATTAGTACTGATTCAAATTGAAGGGAAAGAAACTATTTGATACTTTATGTGGTAGTATTATACCACCAACAAAGGATATGATAGTGATGAAACCTCATCAAACAACTTATTTTCTTATTTCCAGAGGAAATTTTTTTGTTGAATAGATTTAAGTCCTATTTCAACATACAAAATGAATTCTGTAAGAGATTTCAGTTCAGACACCCTCTCACTACAGCTCTTTTAAAAAGCCATGACAAAAAAATCTTCTATGCAATTCAAACTGTAGTTCTCAGTATTTGCAGTATTAAATGTGTTTAACTCATACATTACAACTTATCTAGTTTCAATTAATTTTTGGAAAACAGTTATACAAATTAATATTTGAATATGGCACATTTAATTTTGTAGATTATATGTTTTACATGCTTCATACAGCACATTAATAGTGGAGAGGTTTATCTGAGATCTATTATTCCTACAAGATATGTCAAACATACAACAGCATAGCAAAACTTCAAATAAAAATATACTATAAAAGAGACTTACAGATATATATATATATATAAATAGATATAATTATAAAGCTGCTAACATAAATCTGCATTTGGTCATGTTGATCATCAGTCTTAATATTCATCCCAGATTTCAATATTTAACAGGTAAATTAACAAAGAAATGTCATATAAATATTTATTTTTTTTTACAAATTACAAGAAACATTAAATGGAAACTTTTAATTTAGTTTATTCTACAATATTCCTGCTTTTACAACCATTCAAAATTCAAAACAAATGAAAATTGATCAAATATATGCAACTCAACATGGCAAAAACCCCTATCATTTAATTTTTCAAATACAGTTTAAATTTGGACCCTTTGGACCCTGATGTGGACCAATTTGAAAAATGGGCCCAGAATCCAAAATCTAAATACATTATTAGATTCAGCATATTGAAATCAATCAAAGTTTAATGTTGCATCCTAATTTGGACCCACTTGAAAACATTCAATCTAACCTTCCTTTTGTGGTATGGAACCTTGTGGTACAATCTTAAAAGGTTAGGACCATAGCCCCCAAAATCAATCCCAACTTTCCTTTTGTGGTATGGAACATTATGGTGGTACACAATTTCAGAGAGATCCAAACACTTATACTCATGTTATTGTCTGGAAACCAAATGTCTTCGGATGACAACGACATTGCTGTACCATTATACGGTCGCAAATTTTTGCGGTCTTATAAAAACTAACAAATAAAATCTGAGACTAGTTAACATATTAAATAAACAATTACAGGTTACATAAAAATCTGTAAACAGAGCTAACACATCAAATAAATAAAATTATCTATATAAGTACATCCTTTGTCATATATTATTGGAATAATACACCAAATTTATCAATATTTTCAATTTCAATGTCATGAAAAATATCTAATTCAGGGAAAACTATAAACTTTAGGATTAACAATTGGAGTTTATTTCATGATAACTCCATCCTTTACAGGGCAACTTTAATTTCATCTTCAACTATATAATAATCTAAAAAGTGACTGGTTTAACAACCATTGATAAGTGTTGTACATTGATGGTAAAGTAATGACATCTCTATTACAATACATACATGTAATAAAGTAATGACATCTCTATTACAATACATACATGTAATAAAGTAATGACATCTCTATTACAATACATACATGTAATAAAGTAATGACATCTCTATTACAATACATACATGTAATAAGAAAATATTTTTGAAAAAAAATAATCCCAGAATTCAATTATAACATAGTATCCGTCAAGTTATCTACCAAAACATTAATTCAGTGATGTCCATGTTGTTCAGACAAAATTGAATATTATTTCATGTTTGAATTTTGGGATTAAATATTCTTTTATTTAATACATTGACTTTTTATGTAAATAAAGTAAACATTACAAGGAACTTTTCTATACATTATTACTTTGATCCTTTAATGCAACTTTTTTGGGAACTTGAGAATACATTTCAGAGTAGTAAAATGTAGTTTACATGTGAAATTATAGGTTTTTATTTGACTTGAAAATCACAGTACTTCATTGCAACCAATAATACCTAATATCACAAGGATTAATAATATTGTTCTCCTGTTTTGCCTTTGTTCATTCAAGAAATATCTATCTTATCAATTAAAAAGTATGATTTAAAGCAAAAGTAATAGTATGGAAGTTAGGCCTCTGAACAATAATTAATGAATTCATAATTAACTACTAAAAAAATTGAAAAAATGAAATATATAAAAAGAATAGGTTCCTTCTGGTCCTATACCATTAGTTACAATCATGTGATTACAATGTATTAACAAACCATGCATATATTGGCACTATGGCTAATCATCACCTCATTAGATATTAAAGACAAAACAATAAGCATAAACTATTTACAAGTTAAGCAAATTCCAAATCACCATTTAAAATTGTTTTCCAAATTATGCTACTGCTGTGCTTGTCATAATGTTCAATAAATACCGTTTATTCAAATTTTGAAATAAACTGAAACCCATTTCAACCTATTCTAGCTTAACTTAAATGTAAGAAAATAGCGATGATTACTATGTTTCTCCTGTTATTTTTGACGTAAAACTACAAAGGTAGAAAATAAGTTACACAACTGCATGAGTTTTATTTACAACATTTTATCTGTCAAATCATACCAAATTTGTTTAGGACTGTTCCATAAATTGTTTTATAAATAAAGAGTTAAAGGCACTTTTAATTACTTTTCATGACATGTAAACTTAAATAGATAGATAGGTAACAGCTATGGATCCAAAGAAAGGGATTCCAGCAGCATACCCTCCTTTAGTCAATTCAAAATGTGTAAAAACATGTAAATCTTATGTAAAAAGGTGGAGAAAATTACTACAAAGTACCTGTACACATTCAGTTAAATCTAAACATGTGCATTCTAAATCATAATCAGACAATTGCACTTTGTTATTGCTACATAAATTAGTACATAATTAAATTTAGGATTCAATACATATTACAGTTGAAAAAAACTTAACAAAACAGTGGGGAAAAACAGGTAGAGAGGTAGAATTTGTAGTAAGAGTTATGACACTTTGTGTGTAAGATTTATTAGTATTAAACAATTTACAATCATATATAACTTAATTACAGAATTCCTGCTCGCAGGACAAATTTTCAAATTCAATTTTCAATACTAAGGATAAAATAATATAATGTTCATTGCAAAAAGGAAAAGCAACAAAATTCTTATAATTAAGCAGCAATGCAAGCTTAAAATAGCGGTTATATGTGTTATCTTTTTCTTTAATGTACTGTACTTTCTTCACATGTCAAGATATGGATGCCATTTAAAGTCCATCTGTAAGGCTTCGTTGTCACACAGTTGTATGTTTTTTAAAGCACATAGATGCAGAATTAACACAGTATCTAACTTGTGTTGGCTTTGGACCGTCGTCAAATACATGACCTAAATGAGCACCACAGTCTACACACTTAGCCTCTAATCTCTGCATACCTGAAACCAACATTAATCTATTTATTTATCTATAGAAATCTATTTTCATCGTTATAAATAAAAAATATTGTTTTATTGTTCTGACTTTTCCACTTGTTTTACAATTTGTAATTTATACTTTGTCTTCTAACCACCCATGCAGATTTAAAGAAATGTAAAAATTTACTTTTAAGGATTTCATATGAACCTCAACAGCTAACAACTATACCATGATAATTTGTGATGCACTTATCTTTTTCCAATACTCTTCTTTATTCTTTTTTGAATGTTCTAGCTGTTTTCACTTCCAACATTAATTTAAATAATTAAGAGGAGGCATATATATACAATTGATTACCCCTGCATAGATTCACAACTTTCCTTTGGTTCAATGTTCAATTTAAAAGAAAACTAACTATTTGAAGTTATATCTAATGTTCTTATGATCTGTAGAATATAAGGCTGTTGGTACTTTCCTCCGCAAATAAATGAGAGTAAGACCCCGTTCAAATTTGGACATTTAGATCAAGTTAAGCCCAATGTGAACGCTTTGATGATCTAAACTAAAACACCAAAAAGAGGTAGTTAAGTCTGAATCGATCTAACTTTGCGCAGAGATCAATCTAAACTAATACAATTGAATCGAAAATAATTTGTGCGCATGTATGGCAGAAAAATTACACGTGCAATTTATTTCAGAATGGATGACCAACATAAAAGGGCTAAAAATTAACAAAAACTATACAAACAGCAGTATCAACATTTGAACTTGTAATTCAAGTGAAACAATTACTTCATCAATATTTTTTTTGCAAGCATGTGTATCAACACATTAATTTGATTAAATATTTCTATTTATACACAGTGTTCACAATTTTCCGAGTAATTATGTCAGATCGATTGCAATTTTACTTGTAGTGTGAATGCAGTGGTTCAGATTACACTGATAGAGATCTATGCATTATGACGAAGACTCTTGTCCTATGATGTAGACCCTTATCATATGATGTAGAACCTTGTCATATGATGTGGACCCTTGTCTTATGATGTAGAACCTTGTCATATGATGTAAACCCATGTCATATGATGTAGACTCATGTCATATGATGTAGACCCTTATCATATGATGTAGCCCTTGTCATATGATGTAGACCCATGTCATATGATTGAACGGTAGACCCTTGTCCTATGATTTAGACCCTTGTCACATGATGTGGATCCATGCATTATGAGGGAGACTCTTGTCCTATGATGTAGACCCTTATCATATGATGTAGCCCTTGTCATATGATGCAGAACCTTGTCATGTGATGAAGACCCTTGTCCTATGATGTTGAACCTTGTCATATCATGTAGACCCGTGTCATGTGATGTAGACTCATGTCATATGAGCAACACTTGTCATAGATGTATACCCATGTCATATGATGTAGACCCATGTCATATGAGCAACACCTGTCATAGATGTATACCCATGTCATAGATGTATAACCATGTCATATGATGTAGACCCATGTCATATGAGGAACACTCTTGTTATATGATGAAGACCCGTATCATATGATATAGACCCATGTCATATGATTAAGACCCTTGTCATATGATGTAGATCCATGTCATATAATGCACACCCATGTCCTTTGATGAAGACCCTTGTCCTATGATGTAGACTCTTGTCCTACGATGTAGACTCTTGTCCTATGATGTAGACCCTTGTCGTATGATGTAGACCCATGTTCTATGATGTAGGCCATGTCCTATCAGGTAGACTCCTACCCTATGATGTAGACCCATGTCATATGATATAGACCCTTATCATGTGATGTAGACCCATGTCATATGATGCACACCCATGTCCTATGATGAAGACCCTTGTCCTAAGATGTAGACCCTTGTCCTTTGATGTAGACCCATGTTCTATGATGTAGACCCATGTCATATGATGTAGACTCCTGCCCTATGATTTAGACCCATGTCCAATGATGTAGACCCTTGTCCTATGATGCAGACCTGTGTCCTAAGATGTAGACCCATGTCATTTGATGTAGATCCATGCTCTTTGATGTAGACCCTTGTCCTATGATGTAGACCCTTGTCCTATGGTGTAGACCCATGTCCCTCGATGTAGACACATGTCCTTTGATGAAGACCCTTGTCCTATGATGTAGACCCATGTCCTATGATGTAGACCCTTGTCCTATGATGTAGACCCATGCCCTTTGATGTAGACACATGTCCTTTGATGTAGACCCTTGTCCTATGATGTAGACCCATGTCTATGATGTAGACCCTTGTCCTTTGATGTAGACCCATGTCCCTCGATGTAGACACATTTCCTTTGAAGAAGACCCTTGTCCTATGATGTATTGGATGTTGAATTGCTTCATCTCTTTGTTAGGTTGTTGTTGACATCTTACATCTCCTTTTATTAAAATTCAAAAAATCTTCAAAACCATTCTTGACCTCCATTTTGTCAGGAGAAATAACACTTGTCATTGATGTATACCCATGTCACATGATGTAGACCCATATCAAAATTTTAAAAGAAAATTGGATCAAACACTTTTAAGTCAGTATATGGAATAAACAAAGTACCATTCTCCAATCAATCAAGGACCACAACCCCCCAAAACAAAGTGTAAATCATCAATATCAAACTTGACCTCCATTCTTTTTTAAAATATTGGTTGAAAGGTTCTCAAGTTATTGAACAGAAGCAGCTGTAGCTCCTCAAATTCTGTGTTTGTTTTCAACAGTGTGATTGTCAGAGCAACAATATGTGTGAAATTGGGCTTTAATATATATCAATAAACAGCTATGTCAAGAGCGCATGATACACCCTTATAAAGCATATTGAAATTGTTGCAAGAATTAAATGGGATATTTCAATGGCATTCAATCATGTGTTCACCGATTCCAACAATTACCTAAAGTTCCCACTAAATCAATCAAAACAAACTCAAGTTATGGTACAATGTGAGAAAAATTTACTAAAGTCTGACAATTAAAGTCCAATAACTCTGGAGCAACAAATAGGAACATTAAAAAAATCAAAAGGGAGCTTCCTTTCTCAATCCCCACAGTAATGTAAAGTTTGGAGGAAATCAATCCAGGAATACTTGATTTACTGCACAATTTGTGAAAAATTGCCTTAAATGTTAAAACAGTTAGAGTTCCTCAACTCTAGAACTAATAAAATGGTCAAAGTCCCATAACTCCTGTAAAAATTGTCAAATTAAACTGACAAGGAAGTAGAAAGACAAAAAATCCTACTAAGTATGCAAGCTTTCTGGGCTCTTAGTATTGATATGTTTCGGACAGATAGTTGGACACAATTTCTATATACCCCACTGCATGAGAATGTGTCTAGGGGGAGGGAGGGACAATAAAAATTTCAATATAACTAAACTGCCATTATCTCATTATCTGCAAGAACCAAACAGGCATATTTCTAATTGAAAAAACTTTAATATTTTTATTTCATAATTCTGATTTTAGTTTTATGTCCTCATTTTTCATAAAGTTGAGAGCTGCAGAATTCATGCAGTATCTGTTTCCGGTTGGCGGGGGACCATCATCAAAGACATGCCCTAAATGTGCCCCACATTTGGCACAAGTCACTTCCACTCTGACCATACCTGAGAAGTAAACGAACATTGTTTACAACAAGTTTTGACCAGGAAAGAATGGGAAGTGCTGCATGCCATTCAAAGGGAGGTAATCAAAAGAAGTAAGTTGGACTGTTTTTCTCTGAAATTCATTTTCATCTGTGATCATAACTAAAATTTTGTTTAGTCATTCATCTATACTTGTAGAACTTAAAAAGCAAAATGAGCTATCTTTAAGATAAAAACATATGGCTGATTTGTGTTTTATTTAAATCAGAATGGGAGTATCAACGGAAGGCCTTATAAATCAACTTTTCAAATATTCCTATCTTATTCATTTCAAACTTGCATGCAAGAAGAATCACAAACATTAAATATATTTTTCTGTGTACTACCCAATAATTATGTAATAAACAATGTGTTGACTTACTGCTAAAAACTTCAACTGAGTTGCAAGTTTAAATTTATTGTAGATTTTTTTGGACATCAAAACCACATTACATCTTGCAAAATTGTTCCATTTAAAATATAACTTTTGTAATTGCTTTCTGTATGGAATGAGTTAACCCTATATGTGTGAAATTCATGCAGTAAGCTTTAGTTGTATTTTCCCAATAAATATATATGTATATTCCAACAACACGATGGGTGGAGCAGGATATTCCTACCCTTCCAGAGCACCTGATTGGGGTTCGTGTTGCTCAGTCTTTAGTTTTCTATGTAGAGTTTTGTAGACTGTTGTTTGTATTTTCATTGTTTTTCAGTTTTTTTTTATCTCTCTGACTTATTGAGCATTGATTCTCCCTTTGATCTCTTCAGCCTCTTTTGTATAAATCATGATCCCTGGAGTCCTACCTATCATCCTACACATGAACCCTGTAGACATAAGAAACATGGGCCCTGGTTATCTACCATCCTTAACATGGACCCTGGTTATCTACCCACCTTAACATGGACCCTGGTTATCTACCAACCATAACATGGACCCTGGTTATCTACCAACCTTAACATGGACCCTGGTTATCTACAATCCTAAACATGGACCCTGGTTATCTACCATCCTTAACATGGACCCTGGTTATCTACCAACCTTAACATGGACCCTGGTTATCTACCAACCTTAACATGGACCCTGGTTATCTACCATCCTTAACATGGACCCTGGTTATTTACTATCCTAAACATGGACCCTGGTTATCTACAATCCTTAACACGGACCCTGGTTATCTACCATCCTTAACATGGACCCTGGTTATCTACCAACCTTAACATGGACCCTGGTTATCTACAATCCTTAACATGGACCCTGGTTATCTACAATACTTAACATGGACCCTGGTTATCTACCAACCTTAACATGGACCCTGGTTATCTACCATCCTTAACATGGACCCTGGTTATCTACCAATCTTAACATGGACCCTGGTTTTCTACCAACCTTAACATGGACCCTGGTTATCTACCAACCTGGACCCTGGTTATCTACCATCCTTAACATGGACCCTGGTTATCTACCAACCTTAACATGGAACCTGGTTATCTACCAACCTTAACATGGACCCTGGTTATCTACCAACCTTAACATGGACCCTGGTTATCTACCAACCTTAACATGGACCCTGGTTATCTACCAACCTTAACATGGACCCTGGTTATCTACCATCCTTAACATGGACCCTGGTTATCTAACTATATTAACATGGACCCTGGTTATCTATCAACCTTAACATGGACCCTGGTTATCTACTATTCTTAGCATGGATCCTGTAGACCTACCATCCTAAACATGGGCCCCAGTTATATACCATGCTTAACATGCACCCTGGTTATCTACCATACTAAACATGGACCCTGGTTATCTACCATCCTAAACATTGGCCCTGGTTATCTACTATCCCTAATATTGACCCTATAGACCTAGTATAAACTGCAGGGTCTAAGTTAAGGATGGTATCCTACCATCCTTAACATGGACCCTGCAGGTTATCTACCATTCTTAACATGGACCCTATATACCTACCATGTGAAGTGTCCTTTACCAGCTTTATCCTGTCATTGTCTACAGCATCATAAAATGAAGGCCATCCTGATCCAGAATTAAACTTTGTTTCCGACGAAAATAACTGGTTCCCACAAACCACACAGGTATAAAGTCCTTCTGCTTTGTTGTGCACATACTGACCAGAATTTTTCCTGTAAAATATAAATTTTCGTTAAATTTCCCCCATTCAACTCAGAAATAATTGCTGTCTCTTGTGAAATGTTTTCATAAAACTTTTGATTGAATGGATGGATGAATGGCTGTTTAATATCCAGTTTCAACAATTATACACCTATTCAAGATTATAATATGTTAATGTGATATAAATATAAACTTTGTTTTGCACTACACTCCTACTCAGGAGGACTCTGATGAATCCAGTCTTTGCTCTTACTTCTTATTACTCCATGTTGAGTGGAGAAGCAGTAATAAACTGCTTCGCTGAGCGCAGCTGGATACGCCCGCAGAGGTCCAATCCTGAACAGTTGGGGCAAAAATGGACACAATATTCAAGCTTGATACAGGTCTGAATTTGGATTGTAATTAAATATTTGACATATTATAGGTTTCTGAATAAATGTAGTCAAAGAACTTGAAATTGGTTATATGAATTGAATTTATATTCAATTAAAGATTTCTTGCTGTTGTGCAATACTTAGTAAATCTGTTGTCAGACTATAAACAAATAAAGTTAAATTAATTCTCAATGTCATATTAGAAATTTATGAAAATCAAAAGGGAGCTTACATCAATAGATATAAACAATTCCCCAAAGTTTCATGAGAATTGCTGACAGCATTTTTGAGTTATTGTCCAAAAACTGGAAAGTCCCCCCTTTTTTAATGAATAAAACCCCATAACTCAGAAATGTAAAATGTAAAATTTATAAAATTCTAAAGGGAGCTTACATCAATACATATAAACAATGCACCAAAGTATTTTAAGAACTGCTGAAAGCATTTTTGAGTTTTTTGCAAAAAACTGGAAAATCCCCCTTTTTTATGAATAAAACCCTCTAACTCTGAAACTTAAAATGTAAAATTTATAAAAATGTAAAGGGAGCTCATGTCAATAGATATAAACAATTCACCAAAATTTCTTGCATGTTGGTGAAAGCATTCTTGAGTTATTGTCCGAAAACTGGAAAATCCCCCTTATTTTAATGAATAAAACCCCATAACTCAGAAACGTAAAATCTAAAATTTATAAAAAACGAAAGGGAGCTCACGTCAATAGATATAAACAATTCACCAAAGTTTTGTGCAAATTGGTTAAAGCGTTTTTGAATTAATGTCCGACATGTTGACGACGGACAGACGGACGGACAGACGGACAGACGGACGGACGGACAGACGGACAACGGTATACCATAATACGTCCCGTAAACGGGCGTATAAAAACCAATTTGAACGTCTTTGGTTTGATCTGACTGAAGATAAAACCCAAAACCTCCTGCACTTGGGGCAAGCATCCTGAAGTTTGATAAGATTGAGGATCAAACCAGAGACTGCTGCACTAAAGGTATGCAACCTACCATGACACCACCAAGGCAGTATTAAATCGACATGATACCACCAAGGCGGTAAGTCTCTGGTTTGATCAGATTGAGGATCAAATCAGAGACTCCTGCACTAAAGGCAAGCAACCTACCATGACACCACCAAGGCAGTATTAAATTGCACATGATACCACCAAGGCGGTAAGTCTCTGGTTTGATCAGATTGATGATAAAATCAGAGACTCCTGCACTAAAGGCAAGCATCCTACCATGAGACAACCAAGGTGGTAAGTCTTTGGTTTGATCAGATTGATGATAAAATCAGAGACTCCTGCACTAAAGGCAAGCATCCTACCATGAGACAACCAAGGTGGTAAGTCTTTGGTTTGATCAGATTTAGGATCAAATCAGAGACTCCTGCACTAAAGGCAAGCATCCTACCATGAGACAACCAAGGCGGTAAGTCTTTGGTTTAATCAGATTGAGGATCAAATCAGAGACTCCTGCACTAAAGGCAAGCATCCTACCATGAGACAACCAAGGTGGTTAGTCTCTGGTTTGATCAAATTGAGAATCAAATCAGAGACTCCTGCACTAAAGGCAAGCATCCTACCATGAGACAACCAAGGCGGTTAGTCTTTTGATTTAATCAGATTGAGGATCAAATCAGAGACTCCTGCACTAAAGGCAAGTGTCCTACCATGAAACAACTAAGGCAGTAAGTCTCTGGTTTGATCAGATTGAGGATAAAACCAAGACTCCTGCACTAAAGGCAAACATCCTACCATGAGACAACCAAGGTGGTAAGTCTTTGGTTTAATCAGATTGACGATCAAATCAGAGACTCCTGCACTAAAGGCAAGCATCCTACCATGAGACAACCAAGGTGGTTAGTCTCTGGTTTGATCAAATTGAGAATCAAATCAGAGACTCCTGCATTAAAGGCAAGCATTCTACCATGAGACAACCAAGGCGGTAAGTCTTTTGATTTAATCAGATTGAGGATCAAATCAGAGACTCCTGCACTAAAGGCAAGTGTCCTACCATGAAACAACTAAGGCAGTAAGTCTCTGGTTTGATCAGATTGAGGATAAAACCAAGACTCTTGCACTAAAGGCAAGCATCCTACAATGAGACAACCAAGGCGGTAAGTCTTTGGTTTAATCAGATTGAGGATCAAATCAGAGACTCCTGCACTAAAGGCAAGCATCCTACCATGAGACAACCAAGGCGGTAAGTCTCTGGTTTGATCAGATTGAGGATAAAACCAAGACTCTTGCACTAAAGGCAAACATCCTACCATGAGACAACCAAGGCGGTAAGTCTCTGGTTTGATCACATTGATGATAAAACCAAGACTCCTGCACTAAAGGCAAGCATCCTACCATGAGACAACCAAGGTGGTAAGTCTCTGGTATGATCACATTGATGATAAAACCAAGACTCCTGCACTAAAGGCAAGCATCCTACCATGAGACAACCAAGGCGGTAAGTCTTTGGTTTAATCAGATTGAGGATCAAATCAGAGACTCCTGCACTAAAGGCAAGCATCCTACCATGAGACAACCAAGGTGGTAAGTCTCTGGTTTGATCAAATTGAGAATCAAATCAGAGACTCCTGCACTAAAGGCAAGCATCCTACCATGAGAGACAACCAAGGCGGTAAGTCTTTGATTTAATCAGATTGAGGATCAAATCAGAGACTCCTGCACTAAAGGCAAGTGTCCTACCATGAAACAACCAAGGCGGTAAGTCTCTGGTTTGATCAGATTGAGGATAAAACCAAGACTCTTGCACTAAAGGCAAACATCCTACCATGAGACAACCAAGGCGGTAAGTCTTTGGTTTTATCAGATTGAGGATCAAATCAGAGACTCCTGCACTAAAGGCAAGCATCCTACCATGAGACAACCAAGGTGGTAAGTCTCTGGTTTGATCAAATTGAGAATCAAATCAGAGACTCCTGCACTAAAGGCAAGCATCCTACCATGAGACAACCAAGGCGGTAAGTCTTTGATTTAATCAGATTGAAGATCAAATCAGAGACTCCTGCACTAAAGGCAAGTGTCCTACCATGAAACAACCAAGGCGGTTAGTCTCTGGTTTGATCAGATTGAGGATAAAACCAAGACTCTTTCACTAAAGGCAAGCATCCTACCATGAGACAACTAAGGCGGTAAGTCTTTGGTTTAATCAGATTGAGGATCAAATCAGAGACTCCTGCACTAAAGGCAAGCATCCTACCATGAGACAACCAAGGCGGTTAGTCTCTGGTATGATCACATTGATGATAAAACCAAGACTCTTGCACTAAAGGCAAGCATCCTACCATGAGACAACCAAGGCAGTAAGTCTCTGGTTTGATCAGATTGATGATAAAACCAAGACTCCTGCACTAAAGGCAAGCATCCTACCTTGAGACAACCAAGGTGGTAAGTCTCTGGTTTGATCACATTGATGATAAAACCAAGACTCCTGCACTAAAGGCAAGCATCCTACCATGAGACAACCAAGGCGGTAAGTCTCTGGTTTGATCAGATTGATGATAAAACCAAGACTCCTGCACTAAAGGCAAGCATCCTACCATGAGATAACCAAGGCGGTAAGTCTCTGGTTTGATCACATTGATGATAAAACCAAGACTCCTGCACTAAAGGCAAGCATCCTACCATGAGACAACCAAGGCGGTAAGTCTCTGGTTTGATCACATTGATGATAAAACCAAGACTCCTGCACTAAAGGCAAGCATCCTACCATGAGACAACCAAGGCGGTAAGTCTCTGGTTTGATCACATTGATGATAAAACCAAGACTCCTGCACTAAAGGCAAGCCTCCTACCATGAGATAACCAAGGCGGTAAGTCTGTGGTTTGATCACATTGATGATAAAACCAAGACTCCTGCACTAAAGGCAAGCATCCTACCATGAGACAACCAAGGCGGTAAGTCTTTGGTTTTATCAGATTGAGGATCAAATCAGAGACTCCTGCACTAAAGGCAAGCATCCTACCATGAGACAACCAAGGTGGTAAGTCTCTGGTTTGATCAAATTGAGAATCAAATCAGAGGCTCCTGCACTAAAGGCAAGCATCCTACCATGAGACAACCAAGGCGGTAAGTCTTTGATTTAATCAGATTGAGGATCAAATCAGAGACTCCTGCACTAAAGGCAAGTGTCCTACCATGAAACAACCAAGGCGGTTAGTCTCTGGTTTGATCAGATTGAGGATAAAACCAAGACTCTTTCACTAAAGGCAAGCATCCTACCATGAGACAACCAAGGCGGTAAGTCTTTGGTTTAATCAGATTGAGGATCAAATCAGAGACTCCTGCACTAAAGGCAAGCATCCTACCATGAGACAACCAAGGCGGTAAGTCTCTGGTTTGATCACATTGATGATAAAACCAAGACTCCTGCACTAAAGGCAAGCATCCTACCATGAGACAACCAAGGCGGTAAGTCTCTGGTTTGATCACATTGATGATAAAACCAAGACTCTTGCACTAAAGGCAAGCATCCTACCATGAGACAACCAAGGTGGTAAGTCTCTGGTTTGATCAGATTGATGATAAAACCAAGACTCCTGCACTAAAGGCAAGTATCCTACCATGAGACAACCAAGGCGGTAAGTCTCTGGTTTGATCAGATTGATGATAAAACCAAGACTCTTGCACTAAAGGCAAGCATCCTACCATGAGACAACCAAGGTGGTATTCAATTTTTAATGTCACACATTACTTGATGTCAATGTATAATGTAATGTCTAAAATATAAGTAAAGTTCCTTTATATCCACGTGATAGTAATGCAGGGAAGATATGAATATGGATGTCAAGTGTCACTTACCCTTCAGTTCTATTATATCCATGTGATATTAATACAGGGAAGATATGATTATGGATGTCATGGGTCACTTACCCTTTAGTTCTATTATATACATTTGATAGTAATGCAGGGAAGATCTGATTATGGATGACATGGGTCACTTACCCTTCAGTTCCTTTTTCCTGTGTCACATGATACTGCATGGGAGTTAACCTGGATTTGAGTTCCTCCTTAGGGATGTGTACTTCACAGGTCCCTGATGTTTTACATGATTCCTGTAATTTCTGTAGAACGGGGGAGGGTTCTTGTTTAGCTGCAGTTATTAGATGCAAGATGTTCATCCAGACCAATGACTGAAGACCATTCACAAACTTCATAGACTAAATTGTCTGAAAATATATAATTAATCACATTGAGGCCCTATTAAATGTTAGACTCTACAAAACATTAATGTTAACAACTGAAGACTGTACACTTATTTCAGTGACCGAAAATATACAGACTAGATGTGTAGTATTTGTATTTATATAGTACTGGGTTATGGTAGAATGTATTATATACACATATATATATATTAATAATTTGTATATTTTAACTAATTTGATTCGTTCAGGAATATGTTAAACTATATTTTCAAAGGTCGATTGAAAACGGCAGATATTGTTAAAACTTTTTAAAAAGTGTATATTTGCATAACATGCATAAGATGCACACAAAAAAACATAAAAAATAATTGAAATAACAACTAATATGTTGTTATTGTCAAAGAGACAATATGATATCTATAAAATTCCAACAAAATTAAATGAGAGAATAGAATGCACTGATGATTTTGATACAAATATGGTCTGAAATCAATAATATAACAATTGTACTTTGTATGAGGTCAATACAGGATATATCGACCCAAAGAAGTATATCTTCAGGTCAATATATCCTTGTATCAACCTCATACAAAGGCTACAATTCTATAACATCATTACTTTGCCCCTTGATTTTGGAGGAGGGTTTTATTTTAAGGTATGAACTGTACACATTGTTTTACAATTTATGTAGGCAGCATTATCTACATATTTCCTCCTTTTCTGTTTACTTATTTATATAATTCATGTGTGGTGAACAAATTAACTCTAAAAACATTATAATCCTACCTGAAGTATACACATAATACATTCAGTGTATATAATTTAACATGCAGTGTATATAATATATAACATCTTTTTTTATCCTACCTGCAGTTACATGCAGTGTATATAATTTATCATGTTATCTTACCTGTGTTTTAAAGGTATTGATCTCTTAATTAAATAAATGCCAAAATATGTATACACCAACCTGTTCATGTAAACATCAATATTATCTACATTAAATAGTTATAACATCAGTGTACCCCCTATGTCTTCCCTCATAGCATCATGTTAAACTGAGGCACAATTAGGGAATTAATCTACCAATAATGACATGTTTTCTGTTGTATAGAGGGGTGTTTATCTTTTATATATAATAAAAGAATCAATAAAAGTTACATTAAAAATAAGTGATCTGTTAAAACCACCCACATTACAATTTAAATATATTTATACCTAGGTACTAGTGTTGGAAATTACTAAACACTAAAGTGAACTTGAAAGCAATTCTTTCATTAAAACTTTTTAAACTAATACTTCATTGCCATGGTTTCTAATAATAATAAAACCATCATGCTAATAACAGTTTAAAAAAAAGTCCTCCTCAAGTACTTTTCCAAACATGATATTCATAAAAATAAACACAACATATCATAGTTCTAGACCTGCATTTATAAATAAAAAAAGAAAATGAGAAAGCAACTACATTTATACAGCATATTTAAAAACTGGCAAAATAAGTTTATTCAATTTATTTATACTGTCAATTTTACAAGTTTATTTGTTGTTTTATTTAGATATTAACATTGTTCCCCTTCCCTGGTACCTTGAATCACCCCAGTCCCCCACTAGGCCAAGTGAGGGTTTTGTTTGTTTTGTAGTCTGTTAAATGAGATGCTTCATTACTCTAGTGCTGATACTTTGATTGTTGTTAATTAATATGCTACATGTGTTTTCTATTTATTCTGAACATTGGATGTTACCTGAATAATAATAATCTCAAATCAAAAGCAAATAGTCAATAAGAATTCTGACACTATTACATATTATAAACTACAAAATGCATCACAGATAAAAATACATTTTACAGGATTATAAATCATAATAGCATTCTTTTTACTGTACTATCTATAAGCTAATAAGAATGAAATAACAACATACATGTATTGATTGATGTGTAATTATCTTCATTGAATATCATTGAAACTTTGACATTTTTTTGTGTGAGGCACAGAAACAAATAAAAGAAGAATGTGTCTGAGGACACAAATGACCCAAACTGAAAACTTTGCAATTTTCAAAGTTAAAAAGGGGGCAAAACTCTAGAACAGTAAATGACTCACTGCCCAAATTTGAAATCTGTCTGTGCATTGTGGTTCTCAGCATTGTGTATTAGTTTCATATAATTTTAATGTGATAACACTTAAGAAAGAGTGAGGAAACGAAAAAATTTGCATTTTTCTAAGTTATAAAGGGGCATAACTCTAAATTGTTAAGTGACACACTGCCGAATTATGTCTGCAAGTTTTGATTCATAGCTTTGTGTATGAGTTTCATAAAATTATGATGAGAAAAACTTAAATTTGAGTGTGGAAATGAAAAACATAGCAATTTTCTAAGTTACAAAGGGGCATAACTCTAGAACAGTAAGTGACTCACTGCATAAATTCAAATCTGTCTGCAAGTTTTGATTATTTGCATTGTGTATGAGTTTCATAAAATTTAGATGAGGAAAACTCAAGTTAGAGTACGGAAACAAAAATGGGAAGGACAGAAGGACTGAAGGACAGTCAAGAGATCTTTCATAGTCTCTGTTAGTCACAACTTCTATAGGCTTTGGGCAATTCAATGCTTGACATATTACATAACCATCTGTTTATTGTTGAAGAATGTTTAATTTAGAGCTTGACATATTACATAGCTATATCTCTATTGTTGCAGAATGTTTATTTAGAGCTTGACACATTACATAGCTATATGTCTATTGTTGAATACTGTTTGGCTTAGAGCTTGACATATAACATAGCTATATATGTCTATTGTTGAATACTGTTTGGCTTAGAGCTTGACATATTACATAGCTATATGTCTATTGTTGCAGAATGTTTATTTAGAGCTTGACACCTTACATAGCTATATATTCATTGTTGAATACTGTTTAACTTAGAGCTTGACACATTACATAGCTATATGTCTATTGTTGAATACTGTTAAAATTAGAGCTTGACACATTACATAGCTATATGTCTATTGTTGCAAAATGTTTATTTAGAGCTTGACACCTTACATAGCTATTTGTCTATTGTTGAATACTGTTTGGCTTAGAGCTTGAATTATTACATAGCTATATGTCTATTGTTGCAGAATGTTTTATAAGGAGCTTGACACCTTACATAGCTATTTGTCTATTGTTGAATACTGATTAACTTAGAGCTTGACACCTTACATAGCTATGTGTCTATTGTTGAATACTGTTTAACTTAGAGCTTGACACATTACATAGCTATGTCTATTGTTGAAAACTGTTTAACTTAGAGCTTGATACATTACATAGCTATTTGTCTATTGTTGGATACTGTTTGGCTTAGAGCTTGACTATATGTCTATTGTTGCAGAATGTTTTATTTAGAGCTTGACACATTACAAAGCTATTTGTCTATTGTTGAATACTGTTTAACTTAGAGCTTGACACATTACATAGCTATTTGTCTATTGTTGAATACTGTTTAATTTAGAGCTTGACACATTACAAAGCTATTTGTCTATTGTTGAATACTGTTTAACTTAAGAGCTTGACACATTACATAGCTATATGTCTATTGTTGAATACTGTTAAACTTAGAGCTTGACACATTACATAGCTATTTGTCTATTGTTGAATACTGTTTAATTTAGAGCTTGTTACATTACATAGCTATATGTTGTTGAAGACTATGTTGATCTTGAGAAATCTTTATAATGGTTAAGTCCTTGGGTCACTGTCTCATTGATATATATGCCCCACATATATCCTTCAATTCATTCTCCACTACAAGGCATATTATCGCAAACTTATAAAATACATAGTATAGAAAATCTTAACATTAATGTTGTGTAACTGTTCAGATGTTTAAGATTTTGTTTATATTAAAATTGCCATTTCAGTCTTAAATTTATTTCAAATAACTAATTGGAAAAATACTGTTTTACTTGAAAACATTTAGATTTAATGTTAAAACTGTAGGTAAAAAAAAACTGAAGACAGAAAACAACTTAGCTGAGGAAGTTTCGATGCCATCTTTGCAAATTTCCCTAAAATTCAAGAACTGTCACCTATAGCCAATAAATCTTTCTGAATCAATTCCCTTGGCATTACTGCATCTACATAGCTTTGTATTGTATTTACATTACTGCATCTACATATAGCATTATATCTTATTTACATCCTCATCTACATAGCATTATATCTTATTTACATCCTCATCTACATAGCATTATATCTTATTTACATCCTCATCTACATAGCTTTATATCTTAATTACATCCTCATCTACATAGCATTATATCTTATTTACATCCTCATCTACATAGCTTTATATCTTAATTACATCCTCATCTACATAGCATTATATCTTATTTACATCCTCATCTACATAGCTTTATATCTTATTTACATCCTCATCTACAGAGCTTTAGATCTTATTTACATCCTCATCTACATACTTTATATCTTATTTACATCCTCATCTACATAGCTTTATTTCTTATTTACATCCGTATCTACATAGCTTTATATCTTATTTACTTCCTCATCTACATAGCATTATATCTTAATTACATCCTCATCTACATAGATTTATATCTTATTTACTTCCTCATCTACATAGATTTATAACTTATTTACATCCTCATCTACATAGCTTTATATCTTAATTACATCCTCATCTACATAGATTTATATCTTATTTACTTCCTCATCTACATAGCTTTATATCTTATTTACATTACTGCATCTACATAGCTTTATATCTTATTTACATCCTCATCTACATAGCTTTATATCTTAATTACATCCTCATCTACATAGATTTATATCTTATTTACTTCCTCATCTACATAGATTTATAACTTATTTACATCCTCATCTACATAGCTTTATATCTTAATTACATCCTCATCTACATAGATTTATATCTTATTTACTTCCTCATCTACATAGCTTTATATCTTATTTACATTACTGCATCTACATAGCTTTATATCTTATTTACATCCTCATCTACATAGCTTTATATCCTATTTACATCCTTATCTACATAGCTTTATATTATATTTACTTTCTCATCTACATAGCATTATATCTTATTTACATTACTGCATCTACATAGCTTTATATCTTATTTACATCCTCATCTACATAGCTTTATATCTTATTCACATTCTCATCTACATAGCTTTATATCTTATTTACATCCTCATCTACATAGCTTTATATCTTATTTACTTCCTCATCTACATAGCTTTATATCTTATTTACTTCCTCATCTACATAGCTTTATATCTTATTTACATCCTCATCTACATAGCTTTATATCTTATTTACATCCTCATCTACATAGCATTATATATTTACATCCTCATCTCAGTCTTCACGCTCAACCACAGGCCCACCAGCCCAGGCTTGTACCTGTAAAAATCATCTCTACAAGCTAATAGAATCTAACTAAAATTTTTCATATCTTATTCTCATCCTCATCTACATAGCTTAATATCTAATTTGAATCCTAATGAGCAGGTAAGTGCAATATGAAACTTTGAAAAATATTAGCCAAAAAAAAAAAAACAGCATCAACATATATATAATGAATAAATTGCCTCACCGAGCGCAGCTGGATACGACCGCAGAGGTTCAACCGCAGAGGTCCAACCCTGAACAGTTGGGGCAAAAATGGATGCAATATTCGCGCTTGATACAAGTCTGAATTTGGATTGTAATTAAATATTTGACACATAAAAGGTTTCTGACACAGAATAACTGTTGTCAAAGAACTTAGAATTGATTATATGATTTGAATTTATATTTAATTTTTTGCTTTTGTGCAATACACTTTGCTGTTGCAAATTGACCCCCCCTCCCCCCACCAAAAAAAATAAAAAATTTACCCCCCCCCCCTTTTTTTTTTTAGCTTTTGTGCAATACACTATGCTGTTACGTATTAAACCCCCCCCCCCCCCCCCCCCTTTTTTTTTTGCAAAAAAAAATAATATTTGAAGAATTTTTCTTTTTAATATCTGAAATCTGAAATGAGAAAAAATTGACCCCCATAATTTCTTTTTACCCCCCCCCCCCCCCCCCCCCCCCCTTTTTCCCCCAAAAAAATTCTATACTAAAGTATTTGTCCATTAACCAGGACACCCTTGTTTTTCCCCCTAATTCCTAAACGGTTTGAGCCATAACCCCCCAAAGCAAATCCTAACCATCCCTTTGTGGTATGGAAACTTGTGGTATAATTTCAGAGAGATCCATACACCGTTCCATAAGTTAAATGCTTATTTGTGGCCCCTTTTTGGCCCCTAATTCCTTAACTGTTGGTACCATGACCCCCAATCCTAACCTCCCTTTTGTGGTATTGAACCTTATGGTAAAATTTCATAGAGATCCATTCACTTAAACTAAAGTTATTGTCAAAAACCAATGTGTCTTCGGACGACGACGCCGCCAACGTCATACCAATATATACGTCCGCAAAAATTTTTTGCGGTCGTATAAAAACAACTGAAAATTGATATAAACTTATAAAGGAAATACTTCAATTTCTTAACATATACATATATATACCTTTAAACAAGCTGTTATCAATAACAACATATACCTCTTTGATGTTGGATAAATCAATGCATACAAATTATCCATTTAAATATTATCTTATATTTACTCTTTACTTCATTCATAAATTCTATTTAGAATCTGGAATGAGGATAAAATTCATCAAAGAAAAATAAATAATTCTATCATATTTATCATTTAAATTTAACAAATTAACCTAATTTATTTTAAAGTCATATTTTTATTTCAATTCACTAAAAGAATTTACCCTATGCAGAATTACTCCAAGTAAGAAGGTAGGACATTTTTGTGATTTTACTCATTAATTATGTTAATATAACATGTGTAAAATTTGCAGGTTATTGTAACTGTTTGGCATGTATAGGTTTGAGCTCCCCCCACCCCACTGTATCATGGTGCTATAATTTTTTGCAGGGTGCTACATGTATCTGAATAGATTTTATAATGTTATAAATGTGGTTCTATGATTCTAAGGAAACAGTGCTATTTTCTTTTCCCATATGATATGTGCTATATGAAAATACTGTGGAGGACACTGGGTTCAAATGTTATCTAAACACTACTTTATACCAAACTTTATCATGTTTATTCTGATCAATTTGTATCTACTTTCAGAAAGAATATCATCAATATTGTCCCAAGTAGATTTTTATATTGCACAAGCTTGTGAATGCAATATATATTCTCAGGGGATGATATTCTACAAAAGTCTTATTATATCCCTTTTATTGTATAGCAAAGCTTTAAAAAAAACTGTCTACACCTGGGACCTAATATATAGAAGGTCCAAACTGACACTAAGTCTGAAATATTTTTCTTTTTTTTGTTGTAAAATTCTGCAAATGATTTAAAAACTTGGTTCTGCACAAAATTTACATGTCAGGCTGGTCAGTTTGGAGTAATAAAAGTATGACAGCCCATTTTTAAGTTCCAATTTTTTGTTGCATTTGGTACTGGAAACAGCAAATTATTCTACATCAAATTCCACCCAGTAATCATCAACATGATAAACATGATAAATGTAATATACATGTCGCATTCCTTCATCATCTCTCTTTACTCACTCACTCTCTAGGTGAACACTGAATATATATTATGAGCTTTTTGTGTTGTTGGGTTGCTTCTCTTACTGATGTCTACCCAACATCTACTTTCATTCACATTTACATAAGACATTGTTTCATAACTTAAGTTATTAATAGGTCAAAAATAGGAGGTGGTCTGTTGGGCATCTGCTAACATATTATTAACCAAGTCACATTCTGTATGTGCCTGTCCCAAGTCAGAAGCCTGTAATTTAGTGGCTGTTGTTCATTGCTGTATATAACATTTGTTTTCCGTTCATTGTTTATACATAAATCAGGCTGTTATTTTTCTCATTTGAATTATTTCACATTTGCCTTTTATAGCTTGCTATGCGCATTGTTGAAGGCTATACAGTGACCAATAGTTGTTAACTTCCACATCATTTTGGTCTCTGTCAGAGAGTTGCCTCAAAGGCAATCATACCACATCTTTTTATAATGACTGGCATTTTAAATTCCTTCTTTAATTGTATATACATGTATTTGATTTAAAAACAGTAATTAATTCATAGTCCAATTTTGGATAATATACATGATACAAGAATCTGGTATTTCCTAGGTTGTCTCAAAATTTATATATATATGAAGGAATCGTAACCGCGATTGTCATGCTGAAATGCGATGGTCCACGCTGAAGTGCGATGGTTTACACGCTGAATGTGATGGTGGCATCACATGGGCATTGTGACGTTAACTTTGTTGATAGCTACGCTGAAGTGCAATGGTCTGCCTGTGACATTGAGTGTAAAAGCAAAATAGACATGAGCTGTTTAAATGAAATACATGTAACATCATTAAGGGAGCAACCATTTAACTTCAAAAGGAGGAGGGGGGGGGGGGGGGGGGGGGGGGGGGGTCATGGTTTTTTGTCTGAGTCAGTAATTTTTCTCACGCAAAGCGCTAACATTTTTTTAGTTTTTCAACGCTTTCAATCAAAATAATTATATTAAAATTTAACACTATAAGGTATTGGGAAAATCTGGATTCAGAATATTTTTTTTGTCAGTCATTCCCTAAAATTTGACAACAGTAGTTGCTAGCCTCGCATTTGGAAGATCTTTTAATTTCTGTTCAGGTCAAACCAAAGACTTTAAATTTTGATTTTTTTTTTAATCTAATTTTAAATTTGCCAATGCTCTGATTAGCACACAGTAGTATGGGTTCATAAAATAGGGTGTTCAAGAGCGAAATCAAAAAAAGATTCAGCCTGTAGGTCTATATAATAGTACTAAGCAGGGTCCATCTCATTTTATCAAATATTATGACAAAACTTAGAAATTGCTCACAACAATTATTCATCCATTTATATATACCTGATGTGGTAACAGTGTCCACGAAGTAAAAAAAATGCCAAGTACATTTATGCATGACTAAAAGTGAGACTTGTCAATTATTCCACGAAAAACTTAGTTGAGGATGATAAATTGGGATGTACACGAAGGGACCAGTAATGTTAATTTCAGCCTAACATGTTGTAAACAATTAACACTGTAACCACAATAAAATAACACTCGAGCGACGATGTTATTACAAATCAGGATTTATCTCGGAAATAAAACAACACTATATCAATTTGATGTAACAAAAACATTGCTAATACTATAGCAATTATTTTTTTTTTATTAAATTGTCCACATAAAATCACTTGACCCTTACTTAAAGATAAATCAGGATGAGAAAAAAAAAAACAAGTGGTTTAAATGTTAAAAAGACACCCATGCAGTCCCATAACAGAGGTTACTTAATTGGAGTTAATTGATTGGCCAGTTAATTGTTCTGACGTAATCATTAATTATGTAATTTATCAAATTGAAAAAAAATCATTGACACATACCTGCCAACCCTCCCGTTTTGAGCGAGAGACTCCCGCTCAAATGGCGAAATTCGGGAAATCTCCCGCTTGCCGGTACCCTCCCGCGTGGGAGTATAGAATCTCCCGCTTTTGGATATTTCAACCTTGAATGACAAGTCAACAATAATTACGTTTTTGTGTCACTGATGATGGTTGTTTTTACTTGTAAATCACAGACCATGTGAAATTAAATGGCTTCACTTGACAGCTTGGGTGTCAAACATAGTACTAATTAACGATCATTAACGACTTTTGCTTCAAGCTTTGTGTTATACTTCAAAGAAATTTTGGGTTACTTCCCCTGTTTAATCCTGTTTTAAGTTACCTTTCTTAAAATAATGTGAATTGATAAAACAATACAAACTAAATACAAATTAAACAAAAAATCATAAAAGGATGGCAATTAAAAGAATTTGTATGCCTTAAGACAAAAAAAATAATTACATCTTAAAAATATCTTAAAAGATCTATACTTCTATTCAATGTTTATATTGAAATTTATAAGATATGTATTGAACCAAATTTAGTGAAATATATATTTGCAAACACTTAATACACCATCTGAGACAACATGATTGCACTCTGAATCATACAGAGGTATCTGGGGTGAAAAATTGTCCAGAAATGGATTCAAATGTCAAAGATGATGAAATAGGAAAGAAACAAACAACACACCCCTTCTGTAGGATATAACCATATTTTAAGAAACAAAGTATATCTATTAACTCTTATATGTGTTTCGTAGATGAATAAATAAACACGTCATATATTTCACTTGAAAATATCGTTCGCGCAAAATCTCCCCCTCAGCTGTCATAGCTGAGAGGGAGATCTCCCTCTTTGAAGGTTTCAGAGGTTGGCAGGTATGATTGACATAATAAAAAATTTGATGATTTGTTCATAAAAATTGGTACAAACGAATTTAATGCATAATCAAGCCAAATGTCAGTTTAAAAAGATGGGTCAATGTACTGGTTTTCAATCTAATGATTAAAATCAGTAAATAATTAATTTCTTCCAAATAAATATATCACATTTGACGTCGCGAAAAAAATAACATTTTACGTTGAACGGTTAGCGACGTCATTACCTCCCCTGTAACTGTATCATATGCCCTTGAGC